ATACGTTCATGATTTCCAATGAAATCAATGATGTAAAACCATAAATATTATTTTTTTAATTTGATATTGAAACACAATAATGGGAAACTAAGATTTAAGAAGCTAAGAAATTAAGATTTTTGTATATTTTTTTTACATACATTTAAAACAATATAAACTTAATGAAAGTTTATATTGTTCATAGGCAAAGAAAAGCAAAGAATCATATTCAAACAGATGTAAAAAAATTACATTATTTTTATGATCTTTTTCAGCTGTTATGTGGTAAACGAACGAACGAATGAATATACTTTATTAATCCCAGAGTCAGTACTTATTCCTAAACAGAGTACTGACAGAACCTGAGCCTTCATAGATGTATCACATATTTGAAATAGAGGAAAAACTAATGAAAATTTGGAATAATTCAAGGACTGCTTAAAATTTTTGATTAATTTGGACGAGGATGATTTTTTTTTTTTGCCTATGATGTCAAAAATATTCACCTGTACCATATATAGCCAATGACATTAGTAAATCTTATTCTTTGCTTGTACAAGTTGATGTGTGGACGTTGCAATTTCTTTTTTTCTTTCTGTTCATCGTCTTAGTTTGTATTATCTTAAATATGACAGAAATACAAACCAATTTTGAAGTTTCTCTACAAAGAAAAACTGCTCATGTTGTTATTGAAGGTGAAAACCAATTTTACTCGTTTTTTATATCTATTTTTAATTTATTTGATGTAATTTTAAAAAGGAAAAAAAAATACAAAAATACTTTATTTAGGTAAATGGCCACTGGAGATCGCTGTCTATTTCTGATAAAATAGCTTTTCACCCAGGTTTGGTCAGATGTTTTTTCTCTGCTACTGATGCAGCTGTAAGTTTAAATCAAACTACAATAAATGAGTGTTTTCTTATTGGACGTCACTGTGTGTTTTGTGTCTGTCTCTCTGGTTCAGCAGCTTTTATATCGCCAAAAACCCAACATGCCTTCCAACAGAAAGCGAAAGTAGATTGAGGGCGCATGCATAGGACGGCGGCGATTTTACACGGACGGGAAAAAATGCAAAGAGAGAGCTTAATTTAAACTAAGCGATTAAAATAGACTATTACTACACTTATATATTTGCTAATCTAATGCTCAGATTTTAAATCAGCGTTCAATTCGTGTTTTGTTTTGTTTTGTTTGCGGCCAAGCACCTCCTCTTTAGGGTTACGTCGTCACTACGGTTCATATTTTAAAATTATGGCGCTCAAAATGTCACGCTCTGCGGTCCCGATTTTATTTTTCTTGTTGGGAATCTTTATAAAAGGTAAGATCAGAACATTTTGTCTTTCACAGCTTTCTGCTAAAGCAGCTGGGTGACAGCTTGTTGTTAAAAACGTTTTAACTTGTGGATTTTCTTCACGTTTAAATGAAAGTAAACGCCTTACAAATCTTAGTTGGAGCAGACTATTTTTTCTTTTTGCAAGTATGTGAAGGCATGTTGCACAAACTTCAGTTATACGTTATAAAATCATACAGATAGTCTGATCTCCTCCATGCAGGTTTAGTGGCTGTGATTGAAACCCAGCAGACTGTTTGGGCAGCAGTGGGAGACCAGGCCTCTCTGAGCTGCCAGCTCTCTAAAACTAAAGATGTCCTCCAAGTCACCTGGCAGAAAGTCCTCCTCGATGGAGAGAAGAACCTCGCCACTTACACCGAGAAGTATGGTTCCAGAGTGAGTGCAGGACTGGAGGACAAGATGGACTTTCAGTATGAATCTCTGCAGAGCTGCTCCATGGTGATCAGGAAGGTAATGGAGGAGGATGAAGGCTGCTACCGATGTTTGTTTAATTCTTATTCTGAAGGAGCGCTGATAGGCTGGACCTGCCTAAAACTCTACGGTGAGTAAGGAACATCTGCAGATCTGTAACAACACACACCTTTCTTAAAAGACATTTTGAATTATATTAAAAAATAAATTCAATAACCTATTTAGTAAATCATAGAATTATTGTCTAGTTCCATATATCAATAAAAAAAAAAAGTTTCAGTAGTTTGTCACAGCATTTTCTTGGAAATGAACTTGTTTTGTTTCGTATGGTTTAATGTTCAAATTGAGATGGTTTTGGTTTAAAACTGACTGATAAACCAGCGGCTAAATCAGGCCTCAGTGTAATTCAAAGCAATCAGTCGCCCTGAAAAATCATCTACTGAGTCCATGTCTGTAATCTGAACTAAGTTTAAATCCAGTTCCATGTTATTTAGCGCCACATACAGATCTAGGGGAGTAAAACTAACATTTTGGGTATTTTCTGTATTTTCCGTGTAGATGAAAACATTTCTGGAAACCGTCAATGTTTTTGAAAGAGACAACCTGTTTTCAGTAGATGACCAACGAAGAAGAAATCATTGTTGAAAGACAGCTGTAGTTTTTGGAGGTTGTAATGTGGCAAATTACAAAGTACTTGAACATTTCTTCTTCTTTTTTCCCTTGCAGAGCTGCATGGACCCTTTATTGATGTCAGCAGATCAAACTCTCCTCCAGGGTCGGTTGTGACCTGTTCAGCCACAGGTCGACCTGTTCCCATGGTAACACTGACTGTTCTCCATCAGAACCTCAGCTTCTCCCACTACAACACCAGCAGAGAGACCAACACCAACGGTACCGTCACCGTCACCACCACAGCTCTGCTGTCAGCTGTCAGCAGCACACAGGTTGGATGTTCAGTATCAGTTCACTCTGCTGCTCTCAGAGAGCTGCTGGTCACCGTTCCTGGACTCAAAAAGACGTCTGATTATGGTAAGAAACTTTCTAAAACTCTCAATTTATAGACTAATGACCAGTTTGGGATTCTCAAGCTTTCTTTCTTTGACAGAGTTAGAGAAACAATCTAGTTTACATCCTGATGAGAGTCAGGAGTCTAAAGATCTGAGTAAGTTTTCTTGTCTAAACGTTTGATTTCTGTTTTCTGTGTTGGTCCATTAAACATTTCTCTTCTTTTTCTCAAAGAAATCCCCTTGATCCTTGGAGTTGTCGCTGGTATAGTTTTGACTTGTGGTGTTGCAATCATCGCCCTCTGGAGACATAAAAATGTCAAAAACAGGTAATTTTCTTCATTAGCCTTTTTAATCCATGCCATATAAATAGCCTCTTAAATTCTGATTGCTTTTCTGTTCACAGAGACGATGAGAATAACAAAACACCACTAAGACCAGAACCAATGGGCAGGTGAGAACATTTTGTAACAGAACAAACATTTTCTGTTTGAGTTTGATCTTAGATCTGTTCATTCTCAATATAAAAACCTTTCTTAGGTTAAGTTTTCACCTCAATTTAGTCAGTTTATAAAGTTATGCCATAGTCGTACTTTGTATTCCTCATATATATAGAGTGAAAATTAATGTAATATGAAGATTTTAGTTGCAGATTTGCATTTTAAAGCTTTTTCTCAATGCACATGACAATGAACTGATGCTCTTTTTTTTCCCAAAGACATCACAAATTCTCCACTTTAGGGAGTCGATGCTTGAGGTTAATTCCTCTCATTGGAATTCCTTTTCAACATCTCCTAGCATGTCTTATTTATTTGCATCATCATGTCTTTTAATTAAATATCATTTTATGTCATGCTTCCTGCCTGAGCCAGGTCTCCTTTGGAAATTAGGCTAACTTCTGCAGGATGTTATCAGATTTATATTAATATTTACTTGATTTGATATTCAAAATTGTTTTTACAGGAACATGACACCTTTAATGAAGCTGACGAATGAGGTTAAGCAGCGACTTTCTGCCAGGAAAAGTCCAGAGAACAACAACCTCAAAGCACTTCCTTCAGCGGCAAAAAGACTGAATTTTTGCCGCTGACCTCTGACCTGACAGATTGACATGAGGGTTAAAGATCCATTGAGTTTTCAAATTGCTTGAAAACTGAATTGACCCATTTGGAGATCTATTTGGTTGGATAAACTAAACACTAATACTGTTTGTATTTCCTTCTAATTCATGTAAAGTACTTTGTATTGCCTTTTTGCTGAAAATATACTGTATAAATAAAATCACCTTACCTCAAGACGTGTGTAAAGCTGTTCTGTACTTTCTCTTTCTATTGATTTTTGTCGTCCTAATGGAAAGGAATGCATTTTGTATGCGTAGTTACAGCTTATTTGCTTAAATTTGCTTTAATTTTTTTTTCTTCCTGATGTCTGGTTACCAGCAGAACAACCTGTTTAAATCACCATATTGTAAAATAATCTACTCCGTTACCCATTTAGGGTATAAAGATTGTTATCTCTGGGAAAATAAGTTCTACCATGAAATGCATTTTTCTTTCTTTTAGGAACATTTACCTTAACGTCATGTCTCAAAGGAACATGAAAGGAGCGTAAGATTCATTTAACAGCCCCGTTGAGTCACTGCTAAGCAAAATAAGCACATTTGCACCGTCAAAATATATCCTTGTTTTATTTGCATATATTATTTTGACTTGACTGCACATACATTTCCTTTAATTCTTTATTTCTCTTTTCTCTATAATCTATATATTTTGTTTGTACGCTGTAATCAAAGAGGCTCAGGACGTGCCTTTAAAAACTGCACCTGATAAGAAAGTAATCCAAAGAAGAAAGAAAAGAGTGATGAATTTGGATATATGCGTCACACCTTTGCGGAGGCGCAGACGTCGCACGTCACTCGGGACACACCTGTATGTTTCCGCCCAGCTCGAAATAAACCGAGCAGAACAGGAAGTCTGGAGACTTCCTACAGGACCGCAAAATGTTTCATCCTGTTATAACCAGCTGTTTTCTCATCGCCACCATCCTTCACACTGGTGAGAAGTGATTTGTTTTAACAGACCGAAGAAATAAGCTAATCGTTCCTACGTTTTTAGTTTTTCTTTCGTTTTCGTCACGTTTTACAGTGGATGGATTTTATTTTAAACAAAATTTCAGGAGATTTATTGAGTGGCTACAACACAATAATTCGATGTTTTCTTAATATTTTACTAGTCAGTTTATCCCCACAGGGAAGGGCGTCTGTTATTCCTCGTCTAAACACTAAAGCGAGGTTTTGTTAAACGCAGTGTGCAATTTATAGTTTAATTTTAAATAGGTTAACATTTAGTCCGAAAAGTATAATATATATATATATATATA